GACATGATAGAGTTAGATGGCTGCTAGCTGCGGAGGTAAAGGGTGAGCAAAAGGTGCTGCAATCCCTTTGAGTGTTACTTTGTTCTTAGGTTGTTTAATGTGTAGGATTTTTTGTGATTAGGCTGACTGATGAGTGAGCATTCATTCATTTGGAGAGGTGTAGCTTTACGTAGTGACTGATTGAACCTGAGCCATTTGTTGTCTGTTTACGTGTTTTTAGAATAACTAACGACGAGTCGTGTTGCTTGGAGTGGGAAAAAGGAATGCCTGATTTCTGAAGTTTTGTAAACTGCAACTGAACTCATTCAAGCAGTTATATTGATGGGAATGTCGGTGGACTAAATAGAATGCAAATAATTTCAATTTTTTTTGCAAAAAGTTAAAAATGTGATGTTTTCTTTTTAAGCTAATTTCAACATCATCCAACTTCTACTTTAATCGACTAACCTACCGCTCGACTCATTTCTTCAAGAAGATCCTACCCGTATAATTTCATCCCAATCTAAGTTCGTTTACCTTTTAAGTTCTCCAGTGAAAAAATTTCTACGCACTGTTGGCTCATATTCAGCTTGGGAACTGTTATTTGCCATGTAATCAAGTTATCCTCAGAGGGCGATTAATATGCATTTTTTTGGATGAATTTTTCAACTTATTGTTTGACGAAGTCCAAGTTTACGTATCTTTTTCGGGAAAGTGGTCAACTTAGTGCATCTTTTTTAAAATTTGTCAATGCTGCACACAACATCGGATGTGTGTGTGATCGTAGGGAGACTGAAATAGCTATTATTATTCAGGGAAGTGTAAGCTAATATGAGGGAGCACATCTTTTTTGCACTCAATTACATTTCAAATACATCACTAGAGTGGTGAAGGTTGAGCTATTGGACAATGTTCTGCTATATCTATGTTGGCATCATCATTGTCAATACTATACTTATCCGTTTCCTCCGAGATTATATAGCCAACAATTTTGGAATCAATATCAATACTATTACCCGTTTCCTCGGATACGACAATAATTGCATCATTACCAACAACACTTTCTCCACCGTCATCACCTTCTTCTTTGAAAGCTTTTAGGTCTCTTTGATCGAAATGCATCAACACGGCACCTAGTTTGGACCGTATTGTGGCATCCGACCCTAACACGCTCTTAAGAAAGTCCCCGTTCTTGTAAAGATAGGACACGACAAACGCGAGCAGGCAAGTCATCGTGGTCCCCATTGAGATCAAGAAAAGCAATTTAAAACTTTGCAATGGGATGCCTATTGAGACAGTTTCATCCACATCCTGCTCGTTGCATTCCTTGTTGTTGTTCACTGTCCACTTCCTCTCGATATCCGGTATTCTCCCGCTCTCTATTAGCTTAATTACCGCTCTAGAGATGTCCGGGACTAATGGTGACCCTTTCGGGAAAACCTGCACTCAAGTTAGAGAGAAAGAGAGATTAGAGATGTTACTATCAAGCTCTATTTGAACAAAAAAAAAAATAAATAATAATAATAATAATAATAATAATAATAAATAATACTTACATAAGAGAATCCCTCGGTCGGGTATATTGGGCCGATTGTAGTGTATTTGTCGCAGAAATTGGACATGAAGAGCTTAGTGTATGGCATCACGGAGAAAAGAGCCGATATGCCACCTTTTTTGCTGCCTTTCGACAGTGCCTTCTCGCTGTCCACCGCATGCTCGTAAGTCTTGATCTTCAACTTGTCGAACCCCATGTCTTGCAATAGATCGACTATGAAAGAGCCCTTATGGCATCCTACATAGTCACCCTTTGTAATTAGTTGCGTTACACCGGTGATGGCTGGTTTACGCCTTTGCACATTGAGTCGTGCCGAAAGGCTTGCCGTGTAGGTCGAGTTCAGGATCAGGACAACAAACATCCACACGACCACCACCAGTCGCGCGAAATTGTTCACTATTCTTTCCCCTGAAAATTATGTTCATGTAAATTATTTTTAAAATGCAATCACAATAATCTGTTAATAATGCATATATTAGTTTTTGAATGTGTAGACAGTGACTCACTTTGCGCGAATACTAAACCCATGAATGGAAAATAAAAGATCATCCCGGCATGTTGGTTGGGGGGTCCTCTATAAGCCTTGTTAAACCGATGCTCGAGAATCCATATGGCACCGCCGGTGAAGATGAATAGCGCTATTGTCGTTAGCCATAGTTCTTTCGTGAAGGGTTTCAAGAAGAACAACTTGCCATCTGAATGATCGTATTTGATTGGGACGATGATGAAAACTCCTCCTCCTCCTCCTCCCGTGAACGGAAGAGAAAAATCAACGTATCTCAATCTTTTATACGTGATTGTAATGTCTCCCACGGCAGCATCGAAATTCTAAAACACGAGCAGCATTGTCAAAACAGAAGTTATGAAAAAAATCAATCTGTAATATAATTTACTACTTACCTTGAGGAAAACTTGGTATGCTATTTCATCATAGCTCCCAGCACTTGATCCGTCGGGCTTTTGAAATGGGATATATTCGTAGGGCACATTATATGGTAGGGCAGCCATGACAGCATCAAAGATTTCTACGTAGCACCCGGTAATTATTGAAACATTACTTGCAACATCACTTTTCACCTTAATAAGCTCCGTAAAACCGGGTTTTACTGGCACCCCAATCCTCAGCTTCCTACCGCTAACCGTCACGGCCTTTAACGATTCGGGTGTAACCGTACTGTCTCCAGGAAATATGATGCTCTTCAATTTCAAACCCGATCCGGGTCTCCATATTCCTACTTCTCTCACCCCGGAAGTTCCATCCACGTTTACTATTTGAAACGACGAAAAGGCCGGTAATTCACCATCTACAAGATGAAATTTTCCTCCGACTCCTTCAAACACGACTCTCGACATGGCCTCCAACAGTTTAGGACCCGTTTGTGACGTTTTAATACCACCGAATGCTTCCGGAAAATCGAGTGATGAGGAACATGGGGGCTCCCTAACTCCGACTCGTTCGGCCGCCATAGCCAATGCCCACATAGTGTCATATGCCCATATCCCATAAAGGCTAATAAGCTCGGTTCGTAAGAACTCCGAATTACTTTCGTTAAAGAAGTTCGTTTTCCACCTCGCCGAAATAGAATCGAGTTTATTCGATCTGGGGATCAGAGGTTTAACGCCGAGAACACCGTGCATGCTCTGAACGATGTTGTTGGGGCCCGCCGAGTGAAGTAAATCCACGACCCCCCTCGTGACTATCCATGCGTAGCCCTCATCCATGATTCCCACTCGTTTTGCTCTCGGAAAAAATTCCGAGGCAAGAGAAGTCGACATGTGTGCCACGAATATTCTCGTGCGCATGGTTTTCATCTTCCAAAGGAGAACGTCGTTGATTGGAAGTGAAGGATCGATGCTAATTATCCTGTGAGAGACACGAGCATTAATATCACTAAACGCAGCACACAAATAAGGAATTATACTGTTGCCGTAATACGAATCTTCATGGACGAGGACGACTTGGGCCCAATTGAAATGTTTGACGATAGCAGCAATAGCTTCAACTTGGGACGAGTCGTCTACAGCTGTCCGGACGAAATAAGAACTAGACTTAGGATGAAGGGAAGGACTCGTGGCCGAAAAAGAAATGACGGGTACTTTTGCTCTGTCGGCAAGGCCCGTCAAGAAACTTGCTTGTTCGGAGCTTTGGGGCCCGATTATTGCATCGACTTCAGCATCCTTTAACAGAGTCACAGCTGCATCGATCCATGCAATAGGGTTATCAAGAAATAATAAAATAAATGTAACAGCTAAGTTAGACATATACTATAAACCATGAAAAAGGAGAGTGGAGATGAGGAGAAGATCGATCATATATATGTATACCAGTAGCTGCAGCATCAATTACATGCCCCTTAGAGTCTCTCTGATAGGAAAGCTAGATAAATCATCAAAGAAGGAAGCAGCAGCAGATTCAAGAACCATCAACATAATGAATAATATTGCTCAAAGAATTATAGCAGATCTGAACTTTCTCATGTACAAGACAATGGCTGCGGCTTAGCTTACAAGAAA